TTTCTGTATATATAGAATCTCGATTTAATAACTAAAACAGGCGTCTAAGGTAGGCTTCCATTACAATACCTTACTGATGAGTCCAGTAGTGGAAGCCGGGACGAAACGCCAACATTACGTGATATTCTTCGCAATATATTAGATTGATTTTAAAGATTTTAATGAAAATTGGCTCATTGCCCTTATTTCAATATATTATTATTTAAATTTTAAAATTTCCGTCCGCTTTTAATAACTATAGAACCACCAATCAGATAGTATGTATATATATATATATATATTGTAAACGGTTAGTCTTACAAAAATTCGCGTGGCTGTTGAAATTTAAAGTGATTAAAGTGTTTCTTTAGTAACTCGAGATATCATAGAAATGTCTAATTTTTTAATATAATAAAATTGAAATACTACAATTAACGTTTGCGAAATTCTACGATATAATAAGAGAGAAAAAAATGTTGAAAGTAACTTTCCACGTACAACTTATGTGTGACAAATAAGGCTCGGATATGCTCCTTTGACTAACTACATGCAAATATTACCATAGACTTTTCTCAAAAAAGATTACAACATAAAAAATATATAACAAGGCTTTTAAAATGTAAATAAAAATATTGATATTCGGACGATGAGTGCGTTCATACAGTGTGGTAATTAGAGTATATATTTATGATTTATATTTCTGATAATACAAGTACGATATTACACATTGATTAAAATACAAATTATTTAACAATTTTAACAATAATGTTAACATAAGCTAATAACTTCAATCAAGATATTATAATACAATAACATTTACAATGTTAAAAATTCGAATACTTATATTTTGTCAATTTTTAAGAACATCGAAAAATTCTCGGTCAGACGATAGGAAGTATATTTTAATTTAAAAAACTAATTCGATTTTTTGTTTCAAGATTGTGTGTGTATATTCACGCAAATATTTGTACTTTTTTTATTCACGTATTGCATTTTATTAGTATTTGCACCATTTTATTGTGTCACGATATACTAATATATTATAATACAATATTAAATTTTGTTCCTCGATATTATCCACTTAATATACCTCAACGTTCGCTACTCTTACATTCTTCAAGAATATGAGATTCATGGCTCGATTAATACTCTCATTTCGCTAGTCAGATTTTAGCAACCTTTTGTTAAAATTAATTGTTTTCGTGCGCATCACAAGGGCTTCTAGAAGCTTCCTGAAACTAGAAACATCTTCTAACAATCTTTTTCTCTTTGTTGCTAGTAAAAAAAGGCCCATATTGGACACACAAATTATTTTATTATAAACGGTCGCACTTGACTTATGGCAACCAGCGTGCGCTCGCAAACGTGATCTGAAACTTTTAAACCAGAAGAAACGTTTTGTTTATACTGGGATTGTCCAGATGAACCGTCAAAATTTCCCAATTTCATACTTAATTCCAGATTTTGTACTGTTGTACCCGATGAAATTAAATGTGTCCTATATGTATATGCTTGAAGTAAACGAGAAACCGTGTGATTCAAAAGAGACTGCAGAGAAATTTCTGCAGAATCGTTAGTAATTGTAATTCCGTCAGGATAGCATCGCTATTCTGCCTCCAATATCCGTGTATAATTGGAATATAAATTACTTCCCATTTTCTTTACCTGCGAACGAATCAAATTATATTTGGATTTTGTTAATTTTGCTTCTATTAATGACGATAAAACCTGATCTTCCGAATATTGACGTTTCTCAGGTTGTTTCAAAATGGAGGAAGAGAAGATACAGCATTAGCCACGGAACCAGCAACCCGTCTTTTACTCATCTTATATAAACTCATGGTTGTAGTCAATGCGATTTGTTCGCGATTTGTACCCGATGTCCCCGTAGACTGTGCATCGAAAGGAGGATCCGTCTTACTGTTGGTCGGAGGTGTCCTCGGGCATCGTCGGCTTGCTAGCAAAGCGCGGAATCCGCCTATCGAAGGCGCAGAACGGGCGTCCGGGATTGCATGATTCCGGGCGGCGAGCTAGACCTCTATAAAAGTCTATTCGGCGGTTATGTTGCGTGGCTGCCGAATTATGACTTATGAATGAATAGGTCAACAGCGGCTCGGATTACTTCATGTACTTTTATAATTACATTGTAACGCAGACGGTTTCGAATCTTTCAGCGGCCGGCACCGGGGAGCTAGACTCCAGGGTTCCCTCATGTCGATATCATCATCCAACTGGTGGACTTCCTCCAGGATGTGCCCCGCAGGTCCCTTGGATTTAAGGAATGCGCCTGCGACGCTTAGATTACGCGGAGGTGGTGACGAGCTACCTTTAAAGTTACCTCTAAAGCTACCTTTAGAGTCTTCTACTGATTCGGACGACACCAGCCTTCGTGGGACGGAGTCCCCTGTTCACAATCGGATGAGGGACCGAGCCGCGTTCCAAGATCAGGAGATCGCTCGGCTTCGTGAGGAGAATCGGCGTCTTCAGTTATACTTGGAGTTGTCGCGTACAGCAACAAAAGATTTGAGGAAGGACCAGATTTTAGTTGAGGAACTCGGGAAGTTGGCGTCACGCAAGGCTAGTAATGCTGACATTCCTGGTCCTTCAGCGGCAAAGGACACTGCGATGGTTGTCAAGCCCGCGCGACCACTTTCGCCGATGGTTTTCGTTAAATACTACAAAGACTTGGAGAGCCCTGATGAGAAGATGAATGCGAGAATGATGGATATAGATGCCCGCTTCAACCGTCTGGAGATAAACCGGTCGTCAGCCGTCGCTAGGGGCTCCGGTTCCCATGCACTGGACTCTGAGTTCTCCTTCATTGATAGGCGGAAGGGCCGCAATAGCTGGAGGGGGTCTTTTCCGCGAGAGAGAAACCCGCGGAGTTCGCTTCCTTCTCGTCCGGCGTTTCGGTTATCGGTTCGACCGTTGCGCCCGACCCCTTCAAGAGCAAGCGTGCCGCCAAAGTCATTGAAGAGGGACCTGGGATGGGGTAGCACGTGGCGGCAGATGATCATCGCCTGCTGTGGTGCCTGCTTTCGACCCAGTACCGGTATAGCATCGCCCTGCTCCAACACCGATTTCGTCATCGAAGACTAGAGCTAGAAGGAAGAAGAAAAACAAAAAGAAAGACGAGCGCGGCAGTCTCACCATCTTCGACCCACCGGACCTCCCCCCGCGGCCCGCCACTACCCCTCTCTACCTACGCCTATTGCTGGATTCACACTACATCCGATTTTCGTCGTACAACGACTCTGCAACCAATCAGAAAATAAAATTTTGCTTCGTATCGATGATACGATTTTTCTGATTGGTTGCAGAGTCGTCGTACGTATATACGATGTGGTTTATTATTTAATTAATCATGTAGGCATATTGTACATACTAGTTAGTACGATATTCATATATTGCCAAAATTAACTTGATTTAACTTGATCACGTATACATGTATTAAGTGTTCGGTGTAAACTAGTTCAATTAATATCTTTAAGAGTGTATAACTCAATACATCTAGTTACCCGAGTTATGTCCATGATTACCAAGTCTCGAGCACTGCATGACTGGAGGCCCTGGAGCCCGAAGATCCGTGCGCCCAAGGCCAGAATCAGACTACATATTGAAGATTGAGATTGAAAATTGAAGGACTGAAATTTGACTAATCAAAATAATAGGAATTCCTTCATCTTGATCAAATTTCAGTTTTCAATCTTCAATCTTCAATGCGTAGAGATTTCAATGCGTAAGATTGCATATTTCAATTGGAGGCCGGTCGATTGCCTCCAAGAAAGTCGAGAACCTGTCAAATAATTATAACCAATGTACAGTATCAAGACAATCACAATCACTATATAGATAGCGTAATTAATGAATATATTACCCATGTGAATGAAAAACTGCAGTTCTTTCTCATCGGCTTGAGAACTTAAAAGATTGATCGAGAAAATTGAAAACTCCGAAATCTGGAAACCTGCAATGGCAATCGTGTCGTATTATTTATAACACACGACAGCTTGTGTCGTATTATAACAAATAAACGAAACACTTAAATTTTTTTTTAATGCTTATGATACATCTTATTCTGCAAGTACGCAAATATGTGTTTACAATTTAACATTGTATAATGGAAGATTATTATATAAATGTAATAAATGTAATAAATGTAATAAATGTAATAAATGTAATAAATGTAATAAATGTAATAAATGTAGTAAATGTAATAAATGTAATAAATGTAATAAATGTAATAAATGTAATAAATGTAATAAATGTAGTAAATGTACTAAATGTAATAAATGTACTAAATGTAATAAATGTAATAAATGTACTAAATGTACTAAATGTAATAAATGTAATAAATGTAATAAATGTAATAAATGTAATAAATGTAGTAAATGTAGTAAATGTAGTAAATGTAGTAAATGTAATAAATGTAATAAATGTAGTAAATGTAATAAATGTAATAAATGTAATAAATGTAATAAATGTAATAAATGTAATAAATGTAATAGATGCAGCTTATAAATTAATGTTTATTTTTTCTCATATTAATTTTTTAAAAAATTTAATTCTTAACTAATATCTTATATTTTACTAGTAGTAAGAATCTATAATAATTCTTATATATATATATATATGTGTGTAATGTGTATGCGCGCGCGCATGTGTATACGTAACATATATATATATATGTACTATGGATTTTCAGTAGAGCGAGGTGAATTTCGAGATGCGTCCCCCAAGCCAAGCTACAGATTGCAGTTGTTTAGTCTCGTATAACGCATAACGCACAGTGTATAAGAGAATCAACCGAAAAGTTCTTTTTTCCCGTGAAATAGAAGAAAAAAGAGAATTCTGATTAATTCTCTTATGCACTACGCGTTGTGCATTATGCAGAAATGGTATTACGGTTTTTAATAATAGCGTTAATGTTGAAAAAAGATTTTGTTTCAATCGAGATTTACATTGAAAAATTAAAAGTATTGAGCTCAGCTCTTTCATGTGCGATAGTGATGAAATTTGTCGTGTTTTTGCACAAAACGATCGAATCAGATAATGACAATCATCGCTTTGCCCTGCAAAACGAAATATTAGTCGTTTAATTGGACGACTGTTTAGGTTAGGAAACCCTTTACGGTGCAGTGACACGAGCATGTGTTGCGCGAAGGAACTTGATTTGAACATTCGTTCAAATATCCTAAAATGATACAAAAGTAGCTGAATTTGTTTAAAAAAGAGATTTAATATTAATGAACGAGTTATATAATTTTTTTAAAGTGATTGATGTAGGAAACGCAGGTCTCTCTCTCGTTTCTCTCCTAATAGATTTCGATGAATTATGCTTATTTTCAACGCGTTTTTGCATGAAACGAAAGAATCTGGCAGAAAAAAGTGTCAGCCCCGCAAACCGAGCAATAAAATTGACATTATTCAAGAAAATCTTAGAAATCTGTCATACTGACTAATACCTAATTCCGCTAATTGTAAGATTAACTTTAATCTCGATTCAGTTTACTCTTTATCGTTTCCTGGTTTTTAAGATTAGAAAGCAAGCTAAACTAATATTTGCTGGAAATGGGCGTAGATGTATCGATATTATATATAGCACGCACCGCAGATAAATTTATAGTTTTAAAGCAGTAAATTGGTGTTTTTGAAGCAGTGAATTTGTGTCTTTGAAGCAATGAATTTGTGTTTTTGAAGTAGTGATTTTGCTCATTGAGATACTAACAGATTTCCTAACATCAATAGTCGTCAACTTTAATGCTTAGTATCTCGACACTCTTTTCTGTTAGATTCTTTTGTTTCATACAAAAACGCATTGAATAAGCTTAATTTTATTGAAATCTGTTGTGAAGAAAACCCATCTCTTTCACAATTACCATTTTCTTAATATAAGTTACAGCAAAGAACAGTTTGTAATACAAAATGTATATATATAATTTCTATACATATTCTCTTCTTTGATTAATTAAAAAAATTTTCTTAAGTTATAATAAAGAATGTGACCCTGCAGCATATGTTCACAAAAGGTTTTCTTAACCCGAAGTAAAAAATTTAAAGATTATTATCTTATTTCGCAAGGTAGAGCAACAATTATCTCTGTCGTATTTAATTGTTTTGTGTAACAATACATCAAATGAATCTAACTTAGTTTCAAACATGAGATATAGCTAAACTCAACAATTTTGTCAGTAACAAACCCTAACTTTTTAAAATAAATAATAACAGTAACATAGTAATGAGAGAGTTATTTTAACAAGAAGTAACTCTAACTGTAATGATAACGTGTTGATTCTTTTTTCAGATAACATACTCAACTCTGCTAATTATACAAGTTGTTTATTCTACAAGTGTTAATTATAGAAGCGCTAAATAGACATACGCATACATATATATTTATATATATTATACATATATATTATACATCTATTTATAACACACCTATCAAGACAAAATGGCTATATTAAAAATGCTGAAGCGTACCATGTGCAGGAACGTTACAACAAGTGGATCAAGATTCGTGGGCATCTTAGGACCCTTAACAATTCCACCATTACAGATTGCGATATTATATTACTTCTGGCAGGATTATTCAAGGGTTGTGGATAAGCGATACTGCTCTTGCTCGTGCTGGGACACTGTATTTAAAGGTAATGCTAAAATTCAATGTAAATATACTTCCATGTCTCTTTCCTAAAGTATAGATTACTAAAGTATAGATTAATTTTATACACAAGAATACATGTTCTCTGTATGTTCTTAGAATATTCCTTAAAGGTCTGAGGTCTGTGGAGTTGATTCTCAAATGCAAATTTTGATAAAATTAATATTGCTTTTGATTATCTACCATTTGTCCACCAAAAAAAATGTTTGTTCACTCTTGAAAAAAATTATAAATAAATAAAAAATTGTAGCACTCCCATGTGAATTTTTCCAAATTACATACGGAATTCAATTGTCCATCACACGTAGGCATTTGTTCGATTGTGTACCTATAATTTTCTTTTGTCTACCTTTCAAAAGAAAATTGTACACAAACTAAAATTTAACAATTCGTTACTTTTGATATCTCAGTTACATAATTCTAAATTCATTCTAATTGGAAGAAGGAAGAATAAAATGTAAAATTGAAAAATGAATTTTAGATAATATTTTATTTGTATCAAAGAAATAATATTGTTCAGACTTTGACGAAATGCAAAACAAGTCTTTTACATATATAAAATTATTAAATATAAGGAGCATTTATTTTATAAGATACTTTACTTAGTTTTCTAAGTGATTTTTATAAAATTGCACAATAAAGGAAATCACAAACGATAGGTGGACAATCGAATCCCGTATGTAATTCGGAAGAATATTCACATGCTACAATTCTTTATTTATAATTTCTTTTGGTGGATAAATGTGGACAAATGGTGAACAATCGAGAGAATGCGATATTAATTTTATTAAAATTCGCATCTGGGAGTGCCAGCTTTATAGACATAAAGGTCTGTGTTGTATAAGCTAGTTCTAATTCTTAGAACTAGAAAAAAATTAAAGAATAATTCTATAAAAACATAGGCTCAAGAGATGAAATCTAAATATATGTAAAATCATTGCCAATGTAAGCCAACACTAGTTATTCGTGTGAATTATAAGTAACTTTATTAAAATTCATACAATAATGTAAGTAAACAAATTAAAATAATTAAAATTAATGTATATTGGTCAAATTAATGTGTATTAGTTAAAACGGATATAAATTTGCTAAATAGCAAATCTAATATAAATCAAAATTTTTATAGGCTCGTACGAATCCGGCATTGCTCCCTACAAACACATGTACTTTAATGCTACTTCGAACATGTTGAAAATATGGATACTCATTGTCATTGGAATAATCGTGTTTTACGAAACAATGAAGCATTTGGCAAAACTGGCTATCAAACAGAGACTAAGACAGTCTATGATGCTCCTCTTCTCGACCGCTCTGTTCTCTAATTATTACTCGTGGTGGGTCTACATCAATTATTGGAACGATGACTTCTACACGCAATGGTATCACCAAATGTTCTTCACCATCACTGAATTGATATCTACGACATGGGTTGTTTCTCTTGCCGATAAGAAAAATCCAATCACACACAGAAAGGCGTTCGGCATTGCTGCAATAGCCCTTTTACATATCGTAGCTGGTGGATGGGATCAATTCTTCGAAAATGTCGTTAGAGGAGAGGGTCACGCACATCAGGTAAGAATCTATAAATAATAATGAAATTAATTCGATTATTCACACAACATTGAATTAATGCACATTAAAAGTTGCTTTAAATCAAACATCTCAGTGACCGGACATGTAACCTATGTTTAGACACACAAAATTTAATATTATTAAAATCAATATTAACAAATGATTCAAATTATTAAAATTAAAAAATATATTTTATAGATAATGAAGGACTATTGAGCCAAGCTGGTTGTTTTTGCTACGTCTATTAAGCTGGACCTTCACCATCGAAAATCAAGTTTGGTATAGGTCAAAAATTTAGACATGCTTTTTAGATGCTAATTTAAGTTTTAGCTTCTAAATTCTTTAATGTCAAATAAATATAAATAAATGAATTGTCAATACTTACGTTTCAACCCTTTACATTGGTATAAATTGCCATTTTAATTTCGCACCCGTAATATCTATTATACACGCGTTGCAGTTCGTTCTAATTTCGCATTTTGTAATATTTGAAGACACGATAGTGTCTCGGCCTCGGTGCTAAGCCAAGCGCAGCGACCATGGCTACTTTACGTTCACTATACGCACGTCGCAGTTCAAATCTTGTGAATTGCAGCGTGCATATAATAGATATTAAAGGATATGATATTAAAATGGCAATTTACACTGAAGATGACTCTACGTGAAAAGTCAAAACGTACGTGTTGACAATTTATTTATTTAACATTAAAGAATTTAAAAGCAAAAATAACCAGCTTCCCCCAATAGCCCTTTATTATTTACATAGAACTTTATTCTTCCCAGCCTTTTATCATGAAAAATACAGCGCCCGCCAAAAGTCCCGGGCCACCTGAATAATTTCTGAATGGTTTGAGAATATAGGATTGACATTTACAGGAATACAATGGGATCAAAATCTATTATTGAACCTTAAAAACATCCATCTTAATATTCTCGGAGGGCGGGGAGAAAAGGGAGCCCTGACAATCTTAAATGACATGTGGGGTCGAGTGAAGGCTTGTTTGAAAGGGAAGTTTTCCGAGACGAGAACATCGCGGACTGACCGAGGTCTCTAAGATTATTTTTCGCAAAAATCATTTAATCATCAAACTTCGAAAATAACAATGTTAAAATGATCATATGATTATTTTAACATTGTTATTTTCGACGTTTCGACTTCGATCGAGTCATTTACAATGATAAACATAAATAACATAATAAATTTGAAATAAATATACATACTTAGAATAAAGCAGTTTTTTTTATTTTAATATAATATAAATTATTATATAATTTAAAATTCATATCATAGACTTATTCTTTTGACAATGTTCTCAACTAATTTTCACTTTTGTACTTTGGCGCTAATATGGAATGCATTTAACTACATATTAATCAACCACAATCTTTCTAGAATTCACCGAATGCATTAATGCTTAAACCGCTTTATTCTAAGTATGTATATTTCGAATTATGTTATTTATGTTTATCATTGAAAATGACTTGATTGAAGTTGAAATGTCTGATTTAATGTTTTTTAATTATTGTTTATTTATACTTTGACCGTTTCAATATTGTTTGTATTGTATTATTATATTTTTTTATTTATGGTTCGTGGCCCTTATCAGAAATAAATGTTATTAATGTCAAATATTCTTTTATATATATATTATCATATAATTTAATTGCAATTTTTAAATACAATTAAATTATAATATTGTAATAAAAAGAGCATTTGAGATTAATAATAATAAATTTTGTATAAGTGTCCGATAACGTAGGTACATGTCCGATTTATCTTGCAAGATATAAACTCGGATAAGATGTTACTCAATAATTGCTAAATAGAGCATTTTTTAAGAAGTTCCTAGTCAAAGAAGAAAATGACTGTAATCTTTTAATCTTTTAGTATGTCCTATTTAGCAATTATTGAAGAAATTACAAGCCATACATCTTTTCCGTATGGCCACATCCTAGTTTACTTTTTTATAAATTTTCTTAAAACAATGATGTAATGTAACTTTGATAATATGAAATAATACATTATTATACCTATTCTATTAATTTTAGAATTATATCGATGCATAAATTTTACGTATTTATACTTAAGCGCCAAGCCATGTTCTTTCAGTGATAATATTTTCAATTTGTCATGCTAAAAACAAGGACAAGTTAATAAAACTTCTATTATCAGGAGACGCGGTAGTGTCTCCGGCCATGTTTAAAAACTACTAGTTAATTTAAAAATTAGTTTAAAAGATTAATAATAGACACTACAAGTCTCTTATCCCGAGCCACTAAAGTCCATTTTTTTGGGGTGCATAACTACTAAAATATAAAAAATTTTGAATCGCACGTAATATGTCCTGAAAGGTGGCATCGCCATGAAAATTTGAGTTAAAAAATTTAAAATCAGTCAAGCCATTCTGGACATACAAGCGGTCGGAAAGTGATGATTTTCATGAAAAATGAAGTAACGTCTCCTTCTCTGTCCGTCCGTCCGTCTGTATTATAACTTTGTAATGTCTTTTCTCACTTTTCACTCACACCACCAACTTCAGACCCACTACACCTCACCCACCCCTCTCTTTCGCCGTGTATTTCACTCTCTTTCGTCATATAATATTTTTAAATCATTTTTTAAATATATATTTGTACCCTAAAAAGTAAATGATATCCGAAAAAAATAATATCATAAAAATGAAGAGGTCAAGTCACATGTTCAAAAAAAGATCTTCAAAAATTCAGATTTTTTAATTTAATAATATATTACCATGAAAAGTGACTGATATATTATTAATTAAAAAAAAGGTGCCAGTTCAAAGTGAATATATAATACATAAAGTATATGCAACATGGCTTGACCTTTTCATTTTTATGATATGATTTTTTTCGGATATCATTTATATGTATATATTATAATTAAGAGTGGCTTATTTCCTTGTATGTAAAATTTATGTATCAATAACGATATTGTATCAATGAATTTTGATAGAAAATACTATTTGTAATTTAAAATATTTGTTTAAGGTCATACGTGATCTGGGCTTTATGATACCGGATATTCTCCAAGTCATCGTTCCGTTGTGGCTGATTAAACGAGAAAGTATTTATAATATCCATCTTCCTAATTCATTAGCGTATATGTCAAGTATCGTGGTAATCGGATTGTGCATTTGGTCGTTTCTATTGTAACGAATGTCATCAAGGATAGTATAATAATGCGTAATAGGCGGCAATGATTTAAACCTATTCTTCCTGTGAGTATGGCCTTCGTTAATTTAATGTTCTTCCCAAAAGCGAAAATTCCGTGATACGAAAAACTCGGTCTAAACGCGAACGCCAAACTTCTCTCTAGTCTTTGTAACAAATTATTTAATCATTACTGCGAAAACGCAATATAAATTTTTCGTAATATAGATATCCCGCAGATAAGCTCCGTAATAGTATTATCATTAACCGTAAAGTAGGAAATTTTAAATCGGCTAGTCCAGCTTGCGCTGGAGTCAGCGCAATAAGAAGAGCGCAGAATATACTTATCTATCTCGTTTAATATAGCACCATAATCTACAATAATATTTGAACGTTTCGGCTATTATTTTTAGCCATACTCAGCAAAAAGTTACAAAATAATGATTAAAAATGTATCGGTTCTTTATGTATTTGAGTGTATCTCTGAGATCTTAAATTTTGAATACAACACGTGTCCGTCGGAAAGCACAATTATCTGCCAACGAAGTTACTTTGCTTATTGGTGAAGATAATAAGTTTCTCAAAATATTGAAAGAATCAAGTATGTATAAACAAACTTATATATAAAAATTATTGACCAAAAATTATGCTCACAGAAGCCGTGAACCATCGGTAAGAAATATAGTAAATTAAAAATTTTTTCTTATAATATGTTAGTAAATGTAATAACGCTCGCACATGTAGGGTTAATAAGAGACACGTCGTCTCGAGGATGGCTAAATACAATCGTCGAAATGTCCACATATTGTATAATAGATTATGATGCTATATTAAACGAGTATAGATAAGTACATTCTGCGCTCTTCTTACCGCGCTGACTCTATACCAGCCAATTTTAAATTTTTCTTTATATGTATTGAATTTTAAGGAGTCTATTATTTACATTTTATATTAACAAATGTGTTCTGAGAATAATTTGACTGAAATTGTGTTGTATAGCTTCTTTTGTATTTCATTTATCGTGATCATTTTCATGTTACCTTATTGTTCACGTAAATTTGTTATTCTATTATTTATAATTCTAATATTTATGTGATATTTAAACTTCGAGCAAGTCTTTATACAAGATGTATCATCATAAGAAATTTATAACTTCTTATACAAGTTATAATGCTTAAAGTGCCTACACATAACGCTGACGCGTTAATATTACTTTTATCTGGTAATTATATATGTATAGGAGCATTTACTTCGACTAATAAAACCTTTGATGCTTAACAAGCAATTATCCATGCAGCTGAACACATATCCTAGTAGATAATGTGGCCTGATTAACGAATGTACATTCTCTAAAGTATGAAAATTAATTTTAATATTGTCATATATATTGTATATATACACATATTTATTGCAGAATATATGTATATACTTTGCGGCAAAATCATTTTAGAAAAGTACTTGTGTATAATTTTATCTCATTAGGAATATAAGGTAATGTTTTAATAATAAATGTACTCGTGTCTTTCTTCATTATTAATGCCAATGTTTCGTAAACCATACCGTTCACTCCATTAGGGCGAAGGGTGCGCTGATACGCGCACCTGATACGATACGTATCAGCGCACCTTTCGCCCTGATGGAGTGAACGGTATGGTTTACGAAACATTGGCATTAATAATGAAGAAAGAAACACGGCCATAACCGAATAACCATCTGGTATAATTGAAAAAAATACCCATAAAAGCGTAATCAATGAATGTACTCATTAAAAATGAATAATATTGATGTATTGCGTTCCGGAGCCTCGCTACTTTCGATCCTCTCGGTGTAAAGTTAACTAACCGAAGAAAAATCAATACGTATTAGAAGACAATTTTGACTCGAATTTTTGTTACGTTTGGACGTTTCCATTGAAGACGCAGTATATTTGTAAGGACAATGTATTTGTAATTATTAAATTACTAATTGTGTAAGCAGTAAAAGTAGCAGTAAGAAAAAATGGCAAATTAGAATAATAGAAGTTAGATATATTTTATATTAGAAATAAGTTATACACATATATCATCTTAATTGTAAATTTTTGATTGAAAAATATTAGTTTATTTCTAGTTTCACGAGAACGGTAATATATTTTCACTGAAAAATAAGTAAAATAATAAATACGGCTATTTTTCTCTTATATTTTCGCTCATCTTTAAATCATCTTAAAATAAAAAAAGTTAATATTTATGTATTTGTTTGTACATATTATATATATTATATTCTTTATCTTTAATAGTTCGCAAGTTGATTTATTCGTCATTTCTTCGAAAATGGAAGAGTGTAACCAACAAATAGGGTCATTTACGGATAAACTCGGGATCATTTAAGGATAAGACATACCAGGAAGAGGGTATAGACTTTTAGAATGCCAAAAATGATCTGTTTAGCAATTATTGAAGAAATGATAGCTAATGGCCATATTTCCTATATTGCCGTAATCCCCTTGATTACCCTATTTGAGGAATCCTATTATCATATAAAGTGGAATTCTTGGGATACTTGTGAATCATACATTTCCAATTTCGAAGAGATAACGGAAAATAAATCATCTTATGTACTACTAAAGAATAATAATGTTGTATATAAATAAAAATACCCAATATTAATTTTATCTTTATAAAGAGAACATACTTTATTAAATTATTAACAATAAAAATAAAATGTATTAATATATAAGCTATAAGAGCATATATTCTCAAATAATTTTATGTAGGTAATAACATGGATTATTGGATAGTTTGAAGCGAACCGAAACGTTCTATAAATGTATATCTAAATCGTATGTATAAATTTTTTAAAAATATATGTGAATTGTGCTTCAATTACCATGCTGTTATTAATGTTTTCATAGCTCATATATTAATATTTTATTATTTTGTTGAATCCCGAGAGCCGTATTAAATAATTTCGTTTATTAAATTATTGTTTTTTTTTTATATGAAACTGTAAAGACATACTTAAGATGAATCTGATATAGGTCGAAACATTTATGTTATTATGTTATGCAATATTGTGTGTTTTAATAGAATAAATTTAATTTTATCTATTGCGCAAAAAAGACTAACATATGGCTTCTATGCTCTTTTATTTATTATTTTATTAAGTGTGTGATTTAGTTTTGAGGGTTTTTTCCTCAAAAACTGATTTATTTAAACAAAATAATGAACGAAATATCTTAATCAAAATATATATTTTCATCTCTTGCAAAATCCTCAAAACTAAATCACACTTCTAATATTATAAAGCCGTTTTTTCAGTTTTTATATTGTTAATTATAGTAGGGGAGGCCGAGAGGCTAAATGTGGATTTACTCGAGCGTCGTGGGGACCTATTGGATTGTGAAGATTAGATGCTAAAAAGAAAAAAAGGTTATATGATGTATGCCGTTTCAGTGGTGGGGGGAGCGTGTACAGGCTTTCAAAAAAAACAGTGACAATGAAATACTCGAGCGTGTCAGATATTAATAGTGTAAGCGACCCATGTGTTTCTGATAACGGATAAATATTAATCTGACGGTTTACGTGGTGAGGTTAGCTGTAGGAAGGGGTCAAAAAAAGGGGAGAAAAAAAAAAAATTTCCTCGAGCGCGTCAGATTTTTGAAATGTACACTTTTCTACATGTAATTAACACACCATATCTTAATCTGACGCGCTCGAATTTTCGAACGATCGATTTTTTTTATTTACTAATCCCCTGGATTCCCGGCTCTATATAGAGGTTTAATATTTGGTGGGGGTACTTATTAGGGTGCAAACTTTCTCCCTTTATGTTATTCTGACGCGCTCGAGTAAATCTCAAAATCTCCGCTTGGCCTCCCCTACTATTAATAATAATATAGAATTGTTCACATTATCTTTATTAATTCAGTTACTCTCAGATACTTACCTTTTTATAGACTTATTATATTATATAGACTATAGCACTTGAAGAAGGGAAATAGAAATTTCGTTACAAAAAAAGAAAATGTATTGCGATGTGTAGTGATATAAATCGATTGTAAAACGTTAAACGCGCGCGCGTTAAATTTTCAGATTTAATTTATATATTTTAATTGTTATCAAACGGAACAAAGAATAAATATATATATAATTGATATAATTTATAAATAATCTGACGAGATTTCAGTTAATAAAGATATTTCAATCCGATTAATAATATGAGTAAAATAAAACGGCCTAATTTTTCTGATATAATTGTTCAATTATTTTCAATATTCCTATTACATCTTTTATACACACACAAATATATATTAAAATTACGAATCAAGAATTCAGATAATAATTTATGTATAATTTTTAATGCAGTAAGTAAAAATATTTTAGACAAAAATTATTTTTTAAAAAATCGGTTTTTTTAAATTCTGACAATTTCTCTCACAGCTACAGTTTTTTTTTTTATCAAAAAAGTAATTTATATATTCTTTGAATTTTCAATATATGTGACATTACACACATAAAAACATTTCAAGAGTGGGATACTCTACTACACTCGCCGACGTCATCCCTACAGTATGTCGTATTGATCGTTTTCAGCGAGTAGAGAGTGAAGATATCAAGGGAACTCGTCTTTCTCGCTCTCATGGCTTTATTTAATAACTAAGCGTCAAGGACGTTACACAATTGGAAATGTTTGCTCGACCGACTCGACCAGCTCGACCGAATATTAAAAGGATGCCGACTTTTTGTAGAGAGTATATTTAATACTTCACTCGAATGGCACGCACAAGAATTTTTCATGTGTGGAATTCCGCAAATGAACATTTCGAAGACGTTATTACTTTTCTTCATAGAGTCGGATAAAATGGATTTACGGGGAAGATGGCTATAGAATAAATAATAAAAGCCATAAGCTTTTAGCCTGGTATTCGTAATCGATTCTCATAAGAACATGTCTTAAATGGTCTTAAGTCACTAATGCGGCTCTCTAACTGAATTCGTGACTGAACTTAAAATGAGCTTGATATATATATAAGAATTGACCATATAAATATCTGTCTTATAGAACGATTACAAAAATGCTTTATTTAACAATTATTGAAAAAGTTACAGCGTATAGTCATCTTTTCCGTATAATTATAAAATATTTAAAATATTCTGTGCTTGGCGCGGAGCCTATATGAGGGTAAATCCGCACCTGTTTAAATTTACTCTATATGTAATTGTATTCATGTAATGTAATGATATGATTTATATTTCTGATTTATATTATCTTGATATGAAGGCGTATAAAATATATTGTTTGATATATAAAAGTAACAGTCAAAGTTTTGTCTTGCCTCCTATTTTAGTTATGTTGACTTTATGCATAACAAATTAATAAGTCGGAGCTTCTGTATTACATTTACTATACGTTTCAACTCTGATTCGAACCATTCACAGCG